GTAACACAGGGTACTTCAGAACTTATATCCTGGTATTAGATAGTAAAAAAAATAATGTTTGCGAGGCAAATTTTTTTTTATTTTATTTTATCAGTCGATGTTACATTAAACATTGTTTTCAGATTATGAGTGATCTGTTTAGTTCTTGGAGGTTTCCCTACTTTACGAAGTAGCATTCAATGATTGGAACATACCTCCCATGTTCATTGTAGAACATTGCTCGTATGCTTTCTTTATTGAGACATAACGGTATTTAAAGACACATAAAGTACAAAAGGCAAGACAGTATTAAACCACAATGTGAATGTTATTGCGTGTTGAAACATATCTTATATGGATGTCGAAATCATTCGATATATATATATATATATATATATATATATATATATATATATATATATATATATATATATATATATCTATAGATATATATATATATATATATATATATATATAAAGAAAAGCAAATTATAAAAAGTCTAAACAATAAGGTTCGTGTGCCAAGAATTTTATATCAACATTTAATTACACGAAAACACTTCAACAACAGATCTTAAGATATCATGTGTTTAACAAAATAAAGGTTTTAACATAAGAGAGAAAACATTTTAAACATTTATCATGAAGTGGGTTTATACTTTATGATGCGTCTGTATCGTTTAGATATAAATTCTGGGTGATAACATACCATTAGTATTTTGCAGAATTACAAAAAAATGGTGTAAAAGTCAATTTTGTTTACGTACAAGTTCGGTGAAAAACTGTTTTCTAGATAATGCACATTCCACATTTATGTCTTGCTATGCAATTCAACGTAAAACAGTATTTTATTATACATAAAAAACTTGCCAAAACTTAAAACAAGTTGGCAAATATTATTATTTATTTTATCTCATTATCTAATAATAACAAATACGATCTGTTAGGCCGATAAGAATTGTGAAGCAAGTTAAGATATGTCCCCGACAAGGTCTGATAAAGTTTTACATAACCAGCCGTAGAGCTTTTTGCAACAAATCCAGTTTCCTTGCCTAAAAATTAACCATACCAAAATGTGTTTTTGATTATAACCTACCGCTGAAGCATTACTAATTTAAAGATATTGAGGAATTTGTTTGAATATGGGGCCGACTATTATAATAAATTGATAATATTTCAATCAAATAATGACAATCTCATTCGCATGTTCTTGATTTTTAGTTTGGTATTTGTATGGATACGTAGTACAACTTTGGAACTAGAAAATAAATTGCGGAGGTACTCTGGATTACAGTGGCTCCAAGTTGATGTACAAAACATGAAGATGTTTGGTTTCATAAAAAGGAACATTACAAAGTTATTAAATCTGCTTTCATTATATAACCAGAAAACGTCTATGCAAATCGATCGCGCTGGATGACCCAATTTATATTTTGACTATTTTCACTTATAGACATCGTCAAGTACTTATTTGATGCTGTCAAATACACAAAGGACCAGTATGCGTGTTGCTAAGTAAACTAATGCGTTGGACGTAGTTAAGGACTTTCTTTTGAAGATAATTTAAAATATCAGCCACGTCAAATGCAGACCATATCAAATCGCTTGTTTACAATAAATATGATTTAAATTATATTTGTCATGACCTTATTAACGGACAAGCAATAGAAGACATGTTGGTGTGTTGTACCGACTATTTCAGCTAAATGTGTCGGTTTTAGAATTTTTTAAATGGAGATTATTCAGTTTATTTCACGTCGTTGCCGATCAGTATTCCTTGTAAGATAGTTGTACAGCTCTCAGGGTAATTACATGCGACAAAATCAGTGTAATCCTCGGAAGTTACAGGCTTGTCATTAGTTCGCATAAACAAAAATAATTCATCAAAAAAAAACAATGAAAGTATTCAGTACATAAAAGAGAGTGCCTGTTTTATTGAATGTGCTTGAAACCGACGACACGAGTACCCAGGGAGTCATCGTCAAACTTCCAAAGAAAGGAAACCTGGCGGACAGTAACAACTGGCGAGGAATCACACACTCCTCTCGGTCCCTGGCAAAGTGTTTAGCATTGTCCTGCTATGAGGACTAAAGTAAGTCGCTGACGCGAAGCTCCGAGAAGAACAGACTGGTTTTCGTCGCATCCGACCGTGCAATTCGTCCTGAGAAACATCATCGATCAGAGCCTGGAACAGCAACAGCGGCTCATTATCAACTTTGTTGATTTTACCAAGGCCTTCGACAGCATACATCGGGATTCGCTTTGGAATATAGCGACGTTGTACGGCATCCCGGAGCGTTCGTTGAGGTTTCTAGAAAAGAAATTCAGCTACCTAGGCACCACCCTAGACAACAATGGCGACGCAAACCACGATGTCGCTTGTAGAAAAGGGAAGGCAGGGACAGTCTTTCAACGACTTCGACCAACCTGACCAACGTACAAATCAGTGTAGCAACGAAACTCTGGCTATTCAATACTATTGTAGTCCCGATTGCAATCTATGTATGTGAAACGTGGAGACGTCGGCCCGGATAGCAAGGAGGCTTAACGTCACCCAACAGAAATGGTTACCTCAAATCCTGCAAATCTCGTACAAGGATCTCATCACAAATGAAGAGATCCACAAGCCTTCAGGCACCCGCCCTCTCAACGATATTGTGAGAGAGCGCCGGCTACGCTTTGCAGGTCACATACTCCGTCAACAATCTCACGGCATCCAAGAAACGGCAGCTCGTGGACACCACGAGGAAGACGGGAACAAGGCCGCACCCGAACTACATGGCGAAGCACCTTCATCGAAGGTCTGAGAGCGCTGGGCATATCATTTGACAGGTCGACTTCGATGAAGATCACTTGCTGACCAATGACACAGGAGTAACTAAGTCTAAGTAAACTTGAAAGCGAAGCTTTTTTTCTTCTGGCTCATTCAAACACCGTGAAATGTCATGTTGGGTCACCGTGAAATGTCATGTTGGGTCACAATGATGCGAAAATTCTTCTCGCGTTTGTAGAGTGATTGATTAACAGGTTTATTCATATTCATGAGACACGAGTCGAACACAAGCAGCATACAAATTTTATGAGGCGCGATATCCGAATGTTGCCGTTGAAATTTTAATGTCATATGTCCAGAGTTATACGTTTTGTATCAAACATGCTTGTCCTTAAAGTTCCATTTTCTAGGTCTAAAGTTTAAATCGTGTGTATGTTGAATTAAATGGCGGTATTTGAAATTTCAATGTCATACGTCGAGAATTTACGTATTCGTTCAAAGAGTTTATTTTGAAAGTTTCATTTTATTTGCTGAGTATTTTGATTTCATCTGGTTAATTACAAAGCGCTGGTGGAAATTTCGATGTCCAATGTCGAGGTTTTAGATATTATTTTTTGAATTACACGGCGATGGTTGAAATGTTAATGTCGAGAGTTTCAATTTAATATGTTGAAGCATATTACTTGTGCTGAATGTTCCATTTCGCATGTTGCGTTTTTAAGATGTATATGTTAAATTACTCAGCGCTGCTTGGACATTTTATTGTGCTTGTCAGAATTGCTATTTTTATATGGTGAAATGATGTGTTGGTGTTAAAAGTAACTTTACGCAAGGTCCACATTAACAATTCAAGATAATATCGAGCATTATGATACATAATTTGTAAATTCAATTATGAACCGCCGTTACATTTCATGCATTTACAGTTTGAAAGTTGCCGTTCACAGGTCGAGAATTAGAATAAATTTCTAGTGGTTGCTCTAGTGAACGGACCACATTATTTTTAAACAAGGAGGCTGCTGTTTTGTTGCTGTGAAATTCAACAGATGACATCTAAATACTTGCCATACGAAATGGAACTTTCATCACAAACAGTTACATTGAACGTGTGAATTATGGATTCTCGACATATGATATTGAAATTTCAACCATCGCTGAGTAATTCAAAATATACACTGTAAAACGTCGACATAGGAAATAAAACTTTAAACCACCACTGTATAATTCAACATATAAAATCTAAAATCTCGATCTAAGATATGGAACTTTAAGAACATTTAATTTGATCCAACACTTGATATTGGATTCTCGACACAAGAAATCGAAATTTCAAATGCATCTTTCTCATTGGACCATCTTTTGTCCGCTACGGTGTCTCATAGAATGTCACCCGTGGATTGTGAAGATCAATCAGTCTAAAAGTACACGAACGCTTTTAGATTATGCAGTCCAAAATGTGTGAACTAATGTCACGTGAATTGAATATTGCATCATGACGTCACAATGAAAACGACAGGTATTGGAAAGCATTTGTACTGTCTTGCACTGGTAGAGATTAAACCGGACATGTTTTCTTTCTCGAACCATTTTAGAACCCGTCAGCACTGTAAACGCCCAAATCATTGATAATTTTCATCTGGAAGTTATGTGATAACAGCCTTGGTGCAGGTTGCTTGTAAATGGGGAATAAATGTAAAACAATGTAAGTATTTAATTTTAGAAAAACAGTTAATGTTTATTTTATTTAAGAGCAAATAAGACGCCTCACACAGCAACTTCGACGTTCTCTTTAGACACTGAAAGAACCAAATGTATTCCCTGATAAGTCTCACCCTAAGCACGTGAATCAGAGCACCTTTGTAAACAATGTAACAAATCAATCCTCAAATCGACGCGTACCCAAGAGAGAAGTTGATCTCAGCAAGAGTATGGAAAGACAGGAAGGGAAACAAACCAAGGTGCCAACAGAAAGATAAAGGAGAAGCGAATAATTATTGCCTTTTGGAAAGTAAATGGGTGTAAGTGTGATTTAGATTTTTAACGTAGCTTTTAAAAAATGTTCAGTCATATCGCTACAATGTCTGCAATGTGGCAATTTATATTGATGTCCAGCACTGGGGGATCATACCGCAGACATATTGCATGATGTCCCACCGAGTCACATTAACCTGACCCCAGGCTGTCCAGTCCTAACACTAACCTCTTAATGCGAGGCAGCTGTTAGTACTATTTTTGTAAGTCTTTGGTATGATTCGGCTGGGACTTGAACCCACGATCTCCCGCATCCGAGGCGGACGCTCTAACCACTAGGCCACCGGAGCGTTTGGAAAGTAAATGAGAACACAGATAAAAATAACACATTCTCTTTGAGAAATTAAAAATGTTTTTCATTACAAGATCAACTCTTGATTTACTGACAGTAAATACGTTTAATCAAATATATGCTATGCAACATCTCTCAAGATAGAAAATTCCTTAAACCAATCTAGTCACGTACTGCTAAAGGAAAGATAGACCTAAAGTAAAAGGATGCAAACGTCGAACATCATAATCTCTTTCATCTGCAGATTAATTCTTCACTTTTTGTATGATCAGCCCGATCAGCCGCCATTGAGCGGAATTCAATCTAAATTGCTACTTTAGCACGATCTTTGGGTTTAAAAGAAGAGATAAGTACCGCGAATCGCAATTTTTGGAGAAATAACACCACGTGAGACTGTTACAACGATAATATCTTACGTTTTAAGATTGTAATCTAACATAGAGTATAACTCTTTTTAATATAACTTCAATCTAACATAGAGTAGCTCTTGTTCATATAATTTCAGTCCGAGATCGAGTATAGCTCTTGCTGATATAATTTCAATCTAACATCAAGTATAGTTCTTGTTAATATAATTTTAGTCGAACTTCGAGTATAGTTCTTGTTAATATAATTTCAGTCGAACTTCGAGTATAGTTCTTGTTAATATAATTTCAATCTAACATCGAGTATAGCTCTTGTTAATATAATTTTAGTCGAACTTCGAGTATAGCTCTTGTTAATATAATTTCAGTCGAACTTCGAGTACAGTTCTCATTAATATAATTTCAATCTAACATCGAGTATAGTTCTTGTTAATATAATTTCAGACGAACTTCGAGTATAGTTCTTGTTAATATAATTTCACTCTAACATCGAGTATAGCTCTCATTAATATAATTTCAATCTAACATCGAATATAGCTCTTGTAAATGTAATTTCATTCTAACGTCGAATATAGTTCATGTACAGATAATTTCAGACAAACTTTGTCTATATCTTTTGCACCAAATTTTGTACTCGACGTATAAACGCAATTCTCATTTACTTTGACTAATGTAATCATCGCCCCATGGAAATTGACTAATGTAATCATCGCCCCATGGAAATTGACTAATGTAATCATCGTCCCATGGAAATTGACTAATGTAATCATCGCCCCATGGAAATTGACTAATGTAATCATCGCCCCATGGAAATTGTAAGTACGATCTCTTCCGCCTTTCTTACTGGAAATAAAGAAGAGTTTTAATCCGAAGTATGATTGGCCTTATACAGCGTCAATGGTGGCAGACACTCGGACAGATGATCAAGGATGTTGTCTGGAAGCTCGACTTTGATGGTTAAAAATCCCCTTACACTTTGTACAAATAAAGCAACTGTGTGTATATTGTGTACAGTGCTCAAGTTTGTATGCCTATCCAGAAATATCATCAAATAACTCAGTGGTTCCCAAACTTTTAGTCGCCGCGGACCGGTCAACGTTTGATAATTTTACGGCAGCCCGCTGAGGGGCGTTGATTGTTTATATGTTTGATTGTTCTGATCTAATAATTTCATTTAATTGTATTGAAACATGCCTTCAAAAAATAAAGTTACACCAAAACTGAATATAAATAAATATAAATATAAAGCGAATATAAACCCAAGAGAAATACACAATAGTAAATAAAATGGAAATAATTTAATGTATTTTGGGCGGCCTGGTACCATTTGAATCACGGACCGGTACCGGTACCGGTTCGTGGCCCGGGGGTTGGGGACCACTGAAGTAACTGACCACAGAAAAACTTACTCCTCAATTATGCGCCACGATGAAAGTTTGCACTAGAATGAACGGTTAAATATCAGTTATACATTTCATTCCTTCAGCAAGACAAAAGTATGGGCCTCTACATTTAATAGAAGTAAAGACGATTTTTGACAAATTAATAAACTAAACCCCTCTTGTTGACAGAAGGCAACTCAAGTAAGAAAAACTAGAATGTACCTCACAACTCAAGTAAGACAAATCAAAATGTTCCTCACAACTCAAGTAAGACAAACCAGAATGTACCTCACAACTCAAGTAAGACAAATCAAAATGTACCTCACAATTCAAGCAAGACAAACCAGAATGTACCTCACACCAAGATCTGGGATTCAGATGTTTGTTTCAAACATTTATTTCAGTGGTATTCATAACAACAATTTCATTTTCGTTTCAATATTTGGAATTAAGTGAAAGTACCTGCCTATGATAAATCAGATTGGTTCGGTGTTAGATATTTCCATTTACCCGGAATCACAATGTACCTGTAAAATTCTGCATTAATTGGAGTACATTGGACATATTATATATGTGTCCAGAAAACTGAAACACTTTTTTTATTGTTAGTTAACATTTTTGTTATTTTTCGGGCGACATCAAGTGGTCATCATTTACTAATCGACTTTTTGAAATATTTATTCACAAAATTAATAAATTTTACATAACTAAATTGGTACAAGAACTGTTGCACTGTCCCTACTGTTGGAAGGTTATCCATTGTCATGATCGCATTCATTAATTTTCGACCTCATTACATACATGTGTGGGGGTGTGTTTATGTGTGTATTTCTGTGTGCGATAAAGGGAGATTCAAACATTTAAACATTAAAGCAACCCTTTTTCAATGAATAAAAATATAAAAGTTTAATCAAATAACATTTAATCATAGAAACAATAAATTTCTTTACAACCGATTTACTTAATTATGTATATTCAACTAAAGCATAGCCAAAATCCTTTTCTATTCGACTGATGGTAAATGACAAAATTCAGTTACAGCGTATAACTATCATCATGCAATCGAGTGTTGATTTAGAGTCCAATCTTTTGCTTTGGCATCATCACCTGACACTTGTCGTCACACGACTGGTCTCCTACGTCTAAATAGGTGCTTGGTCCTCTGTTGACCCTCACTGTTCTGACATCCCGAAGATGTAGATTTCATCTCTAACTCATTGAGTTCCGACCGTATTCCTCCTTCTCCTTTTTCTCATTCGGAGTACGAAATATGAAGGATGAAACTCGAAGTACGAAGCTGTCTCATTACTGCCATTTTCTTTTCCCAAACAGTCCTATCCTTAGTCTGCCTCCTGTCCTAAGACAACTATCCGGCCCTTTGTAATTTCACGAAGACACTACTTCATTAACTAACGTATACGGAGTAGACTTAATCTTCTCTCAAGAAAAATCTAACTGAAGGATTTTCCAAGAGATTGCTCCCTAAATTGTTTCTCAAAGTGTACGCAGTTAAGTTCCCTGGCCAATCAGAAAGAAACTTCCTAACATTTTCTCTACAAATCAAGTGGTTGTCGTCCATTTCAGTGGCATAGATATGAAACGTTTAGCGTCCTTTGAAGTCTCGATTATTTGACGTGTGCCCCTTTTGAACTGCGTCGGGACATAATATAATTACGTGTACTCACTGTACCATAGGAACGGACAAGGTCATATTCAACTGAGGTTTAACGTTTTTTGTTTAGAGATGAAAAACAGAAATAAACAAGGAACTTATATATATATATATATATATATATATATATATATATATATATATATATATATATATATATATATATATATATATATATATATTCATACCTCTTATGCTCAACGATTCAACGATTTGTGGAATATTCTCTATTTAAAATCATTTACTTTATATATATATATATATATATATATATATATATATATATATATATATATATATATATATATATATATATATATAAACACACACACACACACACACACACACACACACAATCAGCGTTGGTTTTCATCAGCATAAAGAAAACCAACGTGATGTTTCAGCTGACCCTCTCAGCATCATCATCAACAACTACAAACTAGAAGTAGTCAGTGAGTTCACTTAACTTGGCTCTACCATTACCAGCTACATCTCACTCGATGCCGAGCTCAATAAGAGGATTGGAAAGGCGTCAGCAACTCTCTTTAGATTATCGTAGAGAGTTTGGAACAACAGCAAGCTGACATTAAACACTAAGATTTCCGTGTACAGTGCCTGAGTGCTTAGCACTCTCCTGTACGCCAGTGAAACTTGGACCCTCTATGCCTCTCAGGAGAAAATACTGATTGCCTTTCACATGCTTTGTATCCGTCGCATACTCGGGATCACCTGGAGCGATCGTGTATCAAACAACGAGGTGCTTAAACATGCTAAAATTCTCAGCATGGTCACCCTCCTCCGCCAACGTCGCATCAGATGGCTGGGCCATGTGCGTTGATGGATGACGGACAGATCCCCAAATACCTTCTCTACTGTAAACTTGCCTCTGGCAGAAGATAAATCATACGACCACATCTCCGCTTCAAGGATGTCTGCAAGCACGACATGAATGCTTTTGAGATCGATGTCAACACCTGGGAAAAGCTTGCCCTCAACAAGTTCAGCTGGTCACATGCTTTGTTCACAGGTCTGAAAGCCAGCGAGGAAACGCTGATGAGAAAAAATCTCAGATGAAGAGGATGCAGTTCCAAACCAGACCTGACTCAACCTTCAAGTGCAGCAACTGCAGAAAAAGGATTACCACTCTCGTGAGGGGCTAACGATCGATATAATCGTTAATAAGAAATCTATAACATTTGGATTCCTTCCGTGAGGAAAGTATGTCTGGCAAATGCAAATGTTTATTCTTGCGGCATGCGGAATACCTCGGACGGAAATCTTTGAAATCACTTATCCTTCTTCACAAACCTTAATTATCACTATCTTCAGAAAATAAGTTGTCCTGTTCGACTTTAGTGAAATCTCAAGTTTAACTAATTTTTATGTTGTCAATTGTGTTACTGTAACCGAGACAGAGACAGATTCACTCGTAAACAACATAATGAAAAAAAAAATTGGTAAGCTAAATTATAAGATGTAGAACCAAGAAGAGAGTGATAATGTAACAAGTTCTCGAGATTATGAAAAGACGGTTTTACGCCTAGAAGCAAGTTTTCTTTTTCAACTTGATTTTTCAGTC